TGACCTGAACCAGCCCCCGCGAATGTGGTGCGGGGGACGTGGCCACATTCCCTACCTTGACCCCTCCAATTTCAGGTATTAATAATGCACATACACCCCCGCAACCATTTCTGCGGGGTGGGGTGGGGTGGGGGGGCTGTGCCTGACCCACCAGCAGTGGGGGAAGCCTCTGTGAGTGAGAGAAGTTACCGCCCAAGGCAGAGCGGGTGGCTTTTTACCCCAAGTGTATGGTCGCGGGGGGGGGCAGACTTCCCTCAGGCCCCCACATCTAAAAATGCAGCTCCCCCCCCTCTGCACTCTGGGGAGCAGACTGCAGCTCTCCCTCAGCCGCGATGTCAGAGGAGGGGCTGAGGGGGGGACATTGCTTGCAGTTTCACCCCCCAGGAAGTGGAGGGGGCCGTAGGCGCTTATGTGGTTGTGGCTCTGGTTTCCCAGGGCACAGAGCTTGAACGGGGGGGGGGGGAGAAGGAGGTGCCTCTCCCCCTTGTCCCCCTGGAGGGAAGCGGGTGGGCGAGAACCCATGACCCCAGGGCATGGAGGAGTCCAGGTAGTGGTTTCTGGGAGGGGGGGAGGACTCCTGAAGATCCTCCCCCTTTCAACCCGTGTCCCAGAGGCAGACATGGGGCGAAGAGACCCAGGTTGGGTCTGGTCGGTTGGGCTTGTGGCCTTCCCCCCCTCTCCCAGTGACCACCTTGTCTTCCTGCACTGTGGCTTCCTGAGGGCAGCTGCGTGCCTCGCTTAACGAGCGCACAGTTGAACGACGAATCCGCATACCGAGGAGGTTTTTGCGATCGCAAACGCAATCGCATACAGATGGCCTCTATGGGTGAAAATCGCTCTGTGATGATCGGGAAATGTTTCACTTACTGATCTTCGCATTGCGATGCCTGGGAATCAGCTGATTGGCGGTTCCAAAATGGCTGCCGGAAGCCCCAAAATGGCCACGCGCAGCGTTTTCGCACCCTGCCCTCGCTTACCGAGGGCGCGAAAATGCCTGCGCTATGGAGAAACTTCGCTGAACGGTAAGTTTGGAGTCTATTGGAACGCATTAAACAAAGTTTAATGCGGTCCAATGGGTTTTTACTTCCCGTACAGCGATTCGCCATAGGGACGGTTAATCCGGAACGGATTAACTTCGCTATGCGGGGCACCACTTGTATACGTCCAGCTTGGTTTTAGGCCTTGACTGGAGAGACTGTTCCTAAGACCATCCCTCAGCCCTGGAGGAAGGTTTCTGTTTTGGGGTGAGGGAGCAAGGGGGAGGTTCACACGTCTTCCTAGACTTCTGCCCACCTGCCTTCAAGGCAAGGGAGAGCATCCATCCTTCACTAAGGGAGGGGGTGGAAAACGGGCAGGGGTGGGGAAGAAATGGGTGTCCCAATGGAGATGAATCAGAGATGCTGTTGCTGCAAACAGGATTACTTCAAGGTGGGCTGCCAGGCAGAACTCCACCACACCTCCTCTCCCTCCAGCAGTTTCCTGAAATAGAAGGTGGGGGAGAAAAGGATTAGAGACTCTTCAGCTCAGCTGCCTGAGATGCACCCAGTGATCGGGGAATGCCTTTGGAGCCCCGCCCCACCCCCAACAACAGCATTACGGAATGAAAGTGTGAGGGGCTCTCCTCCCACCCCATACCTCCACCTTGCCTGTCCTCCCTAGGGATAAGCAGCACCATGGAGAGCAGCAGGATGAGTAGCAAGGAGGCCGTGAAGGGCCAGGTTTTCCAAGGGGGAGCAAAGGTTTGATATTTCACACGTATACAGGTGTGGAACCAAAGCAGCCCTGAAAATGTACACTGTGTTTAAGAAAACAAGGCTCGAACCTAAAATGAGGAAAAGTGTAGATCATTTGGCTCTTAGAGCAGGATAATGCAGGTTTAACAAATGGATACTTTAGATTCCTTCACAAGCTTCTGCTTACTTAGCAAAGTCGTACCCAAGGAGAGTCCTATCAAACCAGTCTACTATAGCAGGTGTCCAAGGGAACAAGTCAAAATATAGACAATAAGTCGCTTTCATTAGGAGTTTTTAGGGGAAAGCAAAAACAACAAAGATGCCCTTAGAAAATTTAGGTAAGGGATTTCCTCTTGAAGGAAGCTACTTGGATATTGAATTGATAACCTAAGGGAAGTGTGCCAGGTGAGAATGGGAAAAAAACCAAGTGAGTGGGATACAAATATAGGAAGATGAGACACACACAGAATGCAGATATTAGCTTCCAAACATAGACATTAAGGAACATGGGCAGCCCAGAAACCATCAGGCAACATGTGGCAGCAGCAGCGGAAATGACATGGATTTTCCTCCATAGATTTTCCTCCATTAAACGGGTGGACGACTATATGAGCAATCAGGGAAAATGACCATTTTCTCTGAGTGTCCATCTCGGCTGTTCAACTCTTGTGCCTGTCAAGGGTATAAGCTCCTACATTTTAAGAATGCAATTAAAACATTCTCCTTGCTATTTTTGACCCTTAATATCTATTTCTACTATACTTTGAGGCTCCTGTATTTTGCATCAAGTTTGAAACACAACATGGTTCACCTTTATCAGCCTTTTATTTGAAGTTGGGGTGGGGAAGTGGTATTAAAACATTGTCTTTCTCTTTTTTTGCTCCCAAGCAGAGGAAAATGGCAGGCAGCATCTGGCTTGCCTAATTCTACCAGCTTTATTCATGCCAGTGGCATTCATTCCCCCACCCCCGATTTCTTATCTGCAGTTTTCACATCTTGGTGCAATAATGGGGGTTGGTGAGGGCTGCCAACTTTTGCCAGTTGCTCAGCATTGCCTCCCCTTCATGGATTGCTGCCTTGTTGTGGCGAAGGGGCTTGAGTAACTCAGAGAAGCTATGGGCTATGCCGTGCAGGGACACCCAAGACGGACAGGACATAGTGAAGAGTTCCGACTAAACACAATCCACCTGGAGTAGGAAATAGCAATGCCACTCCAGTATCTTTGCCAAGAACGCCCCATGATCAGAAACAAAAGGCTAAAAAATATGACGCTGGAAGATGGGCCCCTCAGGTCGGAAGGCGTCCAACATGCTACTGAGGAAGAGCAGAGGACAAGTACAAGTAGCTCCAGAGCTAATGAAGTGGTTGGGCCAAAGCCGAAAGGACGCTCAGCTGTGGACGTGCCTGGAAGTGAAAGGAAAGTCCAATGCTGCAAAGAAAAATACTGCATAGGAACCTGGAATGTAAGATCTATGAACGTTGGGAAGCTGGATGTGGTCAAACAGGAGATGGCAAGAATAAACATCGACATCCTGAGCATCAGCGAACTAAAATGGACAGGAATGGGCGAATTCAGCTCAGATGATTATCATATCTACTATTGTGGGCAAGAATCCCGTAAAAGGAATGGAGTAGCCTTCATAGTCAACAAAAGAGTGGGAAAAGCTGTAATGGGATACAATCTCAAAAATGATAGAATGATGTCAATACGAATCCAAGGCAGACCATTCAACATCACAATAATCCAAGTTTATGCACCAACCAGCATTGCTGAGGAGACTGAAATTGAACAATTCTATGAAGATTTACAACACCTTCTAGAACTGACACCAAAGAAAGATGTTCTTCTCATTCTAGGGGACTGGAATGCTAAAGTAGGGAGCCAAGAGATAAAAGGAACAACAGGGAAGTTTGGCCTTGGAGTTCAGAACGAAGCAGGACAAAGGCTAATAGAGTTTTGTCAAGAGAATAAGCTGGTCATCACAAACACTCTTTTCCAACAACACAAGAGGCGACTCTATACATGGAAATCACCAGATGGGCAATATCGAAATCAGATTGATTATATTCTCTGCAGCCAAAGATGGAGAAGCTCTATACAGTCAGCAAAAACAAGACCTGGAGCTGACTGCGGTTCTGATCATCAGCTTCTCATAGCAAAATTCAAGCTTAGACTGAAGAGATTAGGAAAAACCACTGGGCCACTCAGGTATAATCTAAACCAAATCCCTTATGAATACACAGTGGAAGTAAAGAACAGATTTAAGGAACTAGATTTGGTGGACAGAGTGCCTGAAGAACTTTGGATAGAGGCTCGTAACATTGTCCAGGAGGCAGCAACGAAAACCATCCCAAAGAAAAGGAAATGCAAGAAAGTAAAGTGGCTGTCCAACGAGGCCTTAGAAATAGCAGAGAGGAGAAGGGAAGCAAAATGCAAGGGAGATAGGGAAAGTTACAGAAACTTGAATTCAGACTTCCAAAGAATAGCAAGGAGAGACAAGAGGGCCTTCTTAAATGAACAATGCAAAGAAATAGAGGAAGATAACAGAAAAGGAAAGACCAGAGATCTGTTCAGGAAAATTGGACATATTAGAGGAACATTTTGCGCAAAGATGAACATGATAAAAGACAAAAATGGGAGGGACCTAACAGAAGCAGAAGACGTCAAGACGAGGTGGCAAGAATACACAGAGGAATTATATCGGAAAGATTTGGATATCCCGGACAATGCAGACAATGTAGTTGCTGACCTTGAGCCAGACATCCTGGAGAGTGAAGTCAAGTGGGCCTTAGAAAGCCTGGCTAACAACAAGGCCAGTGGAGGTGATGGCATTCCAGTTGAACTATTTAAAATCTTGAAAGATGATGCTGTTAAGGTGCTACATTCAATATGCCAGCAAGTTTGGAAAACTCAACAGTGGCCAGAGGATTGGAAAAGATCAGTCTACATCCCAATCCCAAAGAAAGGCAGTGCCAAAGAATGCTCCAACTACCGTACAATTGCACTCATTTCGCACGCTAGCAAGGTTATGCTCAAAATCCTGCAAGGTAGGCTTCAGCAGTATGTGGACCGAGAACTCCCAGAAGTACAAGCTGGATTCCGAAGAGGCAGAGGAACTCGAGACCAAATTGCTAACTTGCGCTGGATTATGGAGAAAGCCAGAGAGTTCCAGAAAAATATCTACTTCTGCTTCATTGACTATGCGAAAGCCTTTGACTGTGTGGACCACAGCAAACTATGGCAAGTTCTTAAAGAAATGGGAGTGCCTGACCACTTTATCTGTCTCCTGAGAAACCTATATGTGGGACAGGAAGCAACAGTTAGAACTGGTCATGGAACAACTGAGTGGTTCAAAATTGGGAAAGGAGTACGGCAAGGCTGTATATTGTCCCCCAGCTTATTTAACTTATATGCAGAATACATCATGCGGAAGGCTGGACTGGAAGAAACCCAAGCCGGAATTAAGATTGCCGGAAGAAATATCAACAACCTCCGATATGCAGATGATACCACTCTGATGGCAGAAAGTGAGGAGGAATTAAAGAACCTTGTAATGAGGGTGAAAGAGGAGAGTGCAAAAAACGGTCTGAAACTCAACATCAAAAAAACTAAGATCATGGCCACTGGTCCCATCACCTCCTGGGAAATAGAAGGGGAAGATATGGAGGCAGTGTCAAATTTTATCTTCCTGGGCTCCATGATCACTGCAGATGGAGACAGCAGCCCTGAAATTAAAAGGCGCCTTCTTCTTGGGAGGAAAGCGATGAGAAATCTGGACAGCATCTTGAAAAGCAGAGACATCACCTTGACAACAAAAGTCCGAATAGTCAAAGCTATGGTTTTTCCTGTCGTGATGTACGGAAGTGAGAGCTGGACCATAAAGAAAGCAGACCGCCGAAGAATTGATGCCTTTGAATTGTGGTGCTGGAGGAGGCTCTTGAGAATCCCCTGGACTGCAAGGAGAACAAACCTATCAGTTCTAAAGGAAATCAACCCTGAGTGCTCACTGGAAGGACAGATCCTGAAGCTGAGGCTCCAGTACTTTGGCCATCTAATGAGAAGAGAAGACTCCCTGGAAAAGACCCTGATGTTGGGAAAGTGTGATGGCAAGAGGAGAAGGGGACGACCGAGGATGAGATGGCTGGACAGTGTCTGCGAAGCAACCAACATGAACCTGACACAACTCCGGGAGGCAGTGGAAGACAGGAGGGCTTGGCGTGCTCTGGTCCATGGGGTCACGAAGAGTCGGACACGACTAAACGACTAAACAACAACAAGAGCATTGCCCGCAAGACCCTGTGTTTTTCCAGAGACAACACAATGCAAATTGGGTTGGTTTCCCTGATCTCAATTTGCACCACTAGACCCACCTGCTAACAATAATTGGAATTATTCCTCTTAGCTGAACCCTCTTGGAAACCTCCTGTTTGCTTCTGCTCTCTAAAAGGATGGCCTTAGGCTGTACAAAGGGTGACACAGGTCTCATTCACATCCCCTTGCCACCAGTCCCTGCCATTAGTATGCTCTGGGGAGCACTGCCAAAGTTTCCCCTTGACTCCTGGCACATGGACATTATGGGGCAATCCAGATCCAGACAGGGAGAAGCTGACTCTGTGGAAGGCTTGGAGCGATGCGGGGAGGGCTGTGGACCGACCAGGTAGTTGGCTAGGATGGTGAGCGTCTGCCACTTCCTAGGCTGAGGGCAGTTAGATGGCAATATTTACAGTGGTAGCATTTGCTGGTATTCAGATATGGTCCTTTAGCAGTGGGTGCCTTAGACTTCTCTTCACTGAAAAAATACAGGGGGGAAACTCCACAGTATTTGTTTATTAATATTTGTTGTAAGTTAACAAATGTGGCATGCCAACTTTCAGGAATGAACCGTGCAAAGAACTGGCTCCCTTTATTTTGTCTAACAAAGGCAGGTGGACTTAGGGGTATCCATGCTGTATCCATGGAGCTTAAGCCATGAAGTGTTCAGCTGGAAAAATATGGCTTTGGGTATAATGGGCCAACATCACACCTTACAGCACAGGTCAGTTGAACACATCTCTCTGCTGGTGCTGCAGCTCATGCACTCCATCTGTTAATATATGCTCTGGTCTTGTTCAGCCACAGGTTCCTTCTGTGGAGAAGTTACTGATTGTGCACTGCATCATTTTCAGATTTCTCTTGCTATATAATTGCTTTTAAAACACTTTCTTTTTCTTTTTAAGGCTAACAACTGACTGGTGAAAACAGGTTTGCTGCACCCCCTTAATGTGGCTAAAAGACCTGTATCAGCCTACTTTTCAATACCAGAAATATATGTTCTCATGGTCTGTTATTCAATAAATTGAGGGCCTTGAAACACTGTTCATACCTGAATGCACAGCATAGGGATAACAACTTCCTATAAATGTATTTTTAGACATTTGGAAGCCTTTCTGAAGAAATTTATACACAGATCTTACAACAGTCATTGTGCCGTTATGTCTTCTGTGTGTCTTTTGCAGCTTGCTGTGTTTTAGTCTTCATGTTTTTAGCATAATGCAATATATTGATTTTTGAAAGACAGTAAGATGGCTTGGATGGAAGCATTCTACCCACCGACTGGCGAGAACCAAATAGGAGCAGAAAGAAAGAGAGAGAGAAAAAAGAAAAAAGGAAGGAAGGAAGGAAGGAAG